ATACATGGTAACCAATGAAACTATTCTGTGCTGATGGCATGTTCTGGTTTGGTTCAAGGTCAAAGAAATAATGTTTCCAGCTCAAGCAGATGATTGGTTGTTCCAAGTGGCAGGAGGGAAAAACTCAGAAATCTGTCACCTCAGATAGTTCTGTTCCCCCAGCAGTGAAGTTTCTAAAATGCTCTTAGCTATTTTTCATAGGTCTGCCTGCAAAGGTACAAAATGCCTACTTTAGTTTTTGCAGTGCAAAATGCAGGACGAGGCTGTGTAAATTGGTTTAATGTGATTTACTGTGATCTTGCATGTAAAGAAAGGGCAGAGTAAAATCCCCTCTGCCTGATCTGTGTAGCATCCAGTAATTGTGCACTTACACCTCTACAGAGAGGCTCTTCTGAAACATGCCTCAACTTGGGAACAAGGATATGAAACAAAGGAATGGAGTCTGTATGGTGTGCACGGACACGCTCCCGTAGGAATATGTGAGCCCAGTGCCAAATGCCTCCACCCAGATATCTGAGATGTTACTAATTTGATAAGAGGCTTTTTCCTGTTTTTGACCAGCCTGTGCAATTTGAGTTATCTGTGCACAGTTCTCACAAAGAGTGTTGTTAGTGGTCCCAGAGATATCTGCAGAGCAGAATAAAGTTGTAATTGCAGCACAGGTAAGTGAAACCACACTAAAGTGGATGGTCAGAACAGCAAAGGTGTGGAGCAAGGGCTAGCAACCAGCATTATACCTCATTTGCTCATGGCAGTAGGTATCAGACAAAAAACAACAACAAAAAAAAACATGCTGGAGCTTCAGAGAGGGTTTGGAAAAATTGCCAGAATATCAGATGCTGAGAGAGATCTGATCTGGTCTTTCATCCAGAAGAACAGATCAAGATAGTAATTGCAAGTAAGGACCCTGTTCTTCACACCGGGATGTTCGTCACAATTCGTTACGTTAGATCTGGGAACATGTATTTTCCTCCTGTTGCTCTTTCTGTCAATGCAAATATGCCTGTTGCTGCTCTCACTTGTAGGTAGGCATAATACGCTGCAGAGGTGCTGCTCAGCTGTGGCACACAAGCATGGCAGAAGGGTCCATCTGTCTCCTGTACATCAGCCAGTCTTGGTTCTCACTGCTGCTTTTCTTGCTGCTCAGATGTCTGGGGCTTGTTCATTTTATTGAGATTTGTGTTCTGGGGAGAGGAGTAGAGAAAGGTGCTTATCACTCATTTGTGAGGAGCTCCTCAACAAGCCAAAAAGTTGTCTGAAGGGCATGTACATTATAAATTGCAGCTTTGGACATATGAGATCAGAATGATGCCTTATGGTTAACGTGCTCAATCTTTTGTGTGTTTTTCATCCCCTCTGTACTGTTACTTTGTTTTGTAGCAGCCTGCTCTGGTTTGAAAAGATACACCAGGAAGAGTAAGGGGAGGCAGTGGTGCTGTGGGGTGCTCTGTGGTTACACAAGATGGCTTTTCCCGAGCTGTATGGTACCTCCCCCCACAGAGCAGGGAGAGAAGCTGTAGAGGGCTACGTTTTATGCACAGCAGCTGAATTTTAGTGGTGAATATGGAGCCATTCTCAGGGATGCAATTGTTTAGTTCTCTCTGGAGAAGAACTTAAGAAAAACAGGAAGTAATTCTGTGTGGTTTCTTGTGGGTTTTTTTTCTTTTAGTTGGTGGTGGTTTAGCTGTGGTGTTTATTTTTTGTTGTTCTTTTTTTACACTGATGTTTTTCCCAAACGTTCCTTAGTTACCGATTTTCAGCTGGTGACAATTATTTTTCCTTTGAGTCCCAAGAGGCTCAAGCAGGCCCTGAATTACACGTATGAGGAAATCACCCCTGAGAAGCCAGCATTTCAAAACTGATGTTTCTGCAAAGAAGAAAAAGCAGTGTGTGTGCCCTCTGGAGGGTCTGTTGGCTCCAGCATGGTCTGTTCAGCATTCCTTTCCACGATGCACAAAATGTTTCCCAGGCTCCCATCCTGTTGTTTCTAGGAACTCTGTCAGACTGATGGAATTTTCATAAAACAAAGGAAGTAGCGACGTGGCACTACAAAGCTTTCACTTTCTGTCTTACAGAAATTAACTGTTTCCCAAGTGACCATCCTCAGCTCACGGGAAAATTAATCAAGTTAGGGAGAGCTACATTTTTCATACGATGTGTGTAAGACAGACAAATGCTGACTGTCCTGTTGTGCTGCACGCATCCAGGTATGAGATGCTGTGTGAAAGCAGCACCAGGCCCCTCCTGGCTCCCTGCTGGGCTTGGGATCCACTACCACTCCTCTGCTTTGTGATGGGGACTTAGGTATGGCACAGCAGGAGCCGTGCTGCTGAGCAGTGCTTAACTGAATTCCTCAAGAAGTTAGGATTAACAAATACCTGAATCACAGCTCAAGTGGAGCTGAAGATAAACACGTGTCTGAAAATCCAGTGTTTTTAATGCAACTTTTTCTCCTGCTGCAGACATCTTGCATGTTTCCAGATTGGTTCCTGATTGATGTTTGTGGGCTAAGTTGTTGGAGAATTCATTCACCTACTTACAAGCTTAGTTAGAGAAAACAAAAATAAAAAAAAGAACCACTACCAACAACAAAAGAATCAGGGAGGACTTAAACATTAACTTAAAACTGTAAGTAACACATTTACATACATTTTGGAAAAGCAATGTCTTTTTTTGGCTGCGTGTAACAGCCCTACCACTGCTGATGTAACAATGTGTGTGCTATAATCTGATGTTATGTCATTTGATAAACAAATAATAATATCCTGAGAACTGCTGTAGTGACCACAAGTGAGTGGTTAACAGATCAGGCCGAGGAGGCTGTGGTCACAGCTCGGTTCAGTAACACTGTGACAACAGAGATCCAACTGCAATGGATTCTGTTTGCTGACTGGTTAAAATGAAGAAGTTTCTTACTGCCACCTGCTGTGTGAACGCAGCGGACCAGAGGGAGAGAATCCTATCTCTTGGTTCTCAAGTAAATGAAAAGGCTTCTGAAAAAAAAGACATCAGAGTTTGATTTCTGTCTATACCCAATATTCCTCGTGTTTGTCATGTTTTCAAATTCAAAAATCATTTGTTTTTACTGAGAACAGAAACAGCAAGTGTGACCAAGGGAGCCATCAGCCCTTTGCTCTGTATTCTTCAGCATCAGTTTCCCTTGTGTCCTTGTATATATAGATAATGGGGTTTTTAATTCTTGCTTTCCTATTTTTCTTCATTTTATCTGACAGAGAAATTACTTTCGATAGTGTCAGCTTTTTCCTGTTATTTTCCATTACATCCAACATTTTTCATTCTAGAAGTTAGTTTTTTAAAAATATTTACAAAACTTACAAACCCAGAGATTAATGGAACGTGTAATTGGTTCAAAATCAATCCAAAGGAAGAGAACAAAGGAGAAAGTTAAACTTCTCTCCTTTCACTGCCGCTTCCCAAAGTTCTGAGAGCCCCTTCCCTCCAACTCAGCCTGCAAGCTTCTGCTTGGGCCCGTGCTATTCAGTAGGATGGAGGGCAGAACTGTTCTCATGATTTCAGAAGCAGCACACCTGCTGTCAGAGGAGTACAAGCAACCATCACATGTTTCCTATCCTTTGAAACTTACCTGGTTTTGTGTTAAAAACCTTACCCCTTTTCAACTGAAGTGGAAGTGTTAAATGGAGGAGCATGTCACCTCAGAACTTTTGCACAGTGAACTGAAAAGCAAATGAGATCATTACAGAGAAAAGACTGAGATCAAAGTGTGGACAGGGCAGCAGGAGCAGCCGTAATAACGTCTGATAGACACTGCTGAGATTGCAGGGGTGTTTGCAGCAATGGAGGAAGATTGACAGAATTCGTGAGGTTGATTTCAGAGTGCCTCTAGATTATTCTTTCCAAGGAGCTGCGGTTTAGGAAATATTAATGAATCCTCATGATTTACAAGCACCCTGCAGATTCTGCTGGCCACCAACAGCAGAATGAGCATGTAGCATTAGTGGTGAGCTGCAGCACTGCACAACAGTGTGAAAGCTACTGCCCACCTTGTTCTCACATCCCTGCCTCACAGCAGTGGGGCCACTGACAGCAGGATACAGATACGATAAGATACAGAATTATGCTCCAAAAGTAATGCCTCCTATTTTATTCTGTTGGCCCATGACATCAGAGGCGGATGTTGGTGGTACAGCAGCAGAGGCTGAGCCTTCCCACCAACGTTTTGCTGCTGTGAGACAGACGGCAGCCAAGGAGCACTCTGACGTGGAAGTGCAGATGAACAAAGAGCTGGAATTGAAACTGGGACAGGGAGGTGATTGTCCCCCTCTACTCTGCTCTTGTGTCCAGGTCTGGAGCGCCCAGTACAAGAAAGACAGGGAGCTGTTGGAGAGGGTCCAGAGAAGAGCCACAAAGATGATCAGGGGAATGGAGCACCTCCCCTATGAAGACTCGCTGAGGGAGTTGGGCTTGTTCAGTCTGGAGAAAAGAAGGCTGCAGGGTGACCTCATTGCAGCCTTTCAGTACCTGAAGGGAACCTTCAAACAGGAGGGGAATCAACTCTTTGAAAGGGCTGATAGCTGCAGGACAAGGGGAAACGGTTTTAAGTTGAGGGAGGTAAGATTTAGGTTGGATGTCAGGGGAAGGTTCTGTACTATGAGAGTGGTGAGGTGCTGGAACTGCTGCCCAGAGAGGCTGTGGATGCCCCGTCCATCCCTGGAGGTGTTCAAGGCCAGGTTGGATGGGGCCCTGGGCAGCCTGGGCTGGTATTAAATGGGGAGGTTGGTGGCCCTGCGTGTGGCAGGGGGTTGGAGCTTCGTGATCCTTGAGGTCCCTTCCAACCCTGGCCATTCTGTGACTCTGTGAAACGTGACTCTAAAACTGTCACCGGGGAATGAAACGCTCGTAAGGAACTGCGCCGCCTGTCCCAGCCCCGGGCCGCCATTCCCGCTCGACGCGTTCGGGGCTCGGTTCGAGCGCTCGGCAGCGGCTTGGAGCCGCCTGGCGGGCGGGGCGGCGGGGCGGCCATGTCTGGGCTGGCGCGGGCTGTGCGGCGGGTGGCGGCGGTCGGGCTGGCGGCGGCCCGGCGAGGGGAGAGCGGCGGCGGCGGCGGGCAGCGCTGGGGCTGGGGGCTGGCGCTGGGACTGGCGCTGGGCGTGAAGGCGGCGGCGGGCAGCGAGGCGGGCGGCGGGCCGGAGAAGGAGGAGGAGGCGGCGGCGGCACGTCGGGGATTCGGAGCGGCCATCGAGAGGAGCCGGGACCTGCTGCGGCGGATCAAGGTGCCGAGCTACCTGCTTTTTGTTTTTTCCTTGTGCTCCCGATCGCTGACTGCGTTGAATTACAAGCGCGTACTTTCACCGCGTAGTCCCGGTGTTTCTCAGAGTTGCCGGGCTGTGTGTCCTCGGAGCGCTGCTCTGCACGTCGGAGCTCGGGAAAAGCTGTTGCCGGACTGTAAAGATTCTCCTTTGTGTTGTCTAATTTATTTTTCAGGACGAAGCGGGCATCCCGGGTATCCTGGTCGGAGTTTCTGTGGATGGAAGGGAGGTGTGGTCCGAAGGTCGGTGCGGGCGTCGTGCCGGTTTGTGCCTCGGGACGCGGCTGCAGGCAGTGCTGGGGAGCAGCGCGGTGCTTCCAGGCCAACCCCCTTTGCCTCTCAGGAATCCGGAGAGGCAGCTCTCGTGCGTTTTATTGTGGCGGTGTTGGAATGCATTAATCGTAATGTAACAGCACGAAGCTGTTTCTCTTCCATTGTGGCAGAGCTGAGTAGCAGAATCTTTTGACTCAGTGTCATAATCTGACAGTTTTACCTGGTCTCAGCATATCTAACGAGGAAAGCAGAGGTCTGTATAAGATTTGTGCAGAGTCCCTTGACCTGCAGGGAGGTGCATGTGGGAACCTGTGTTGGGTGGTGGTTTGTCACCCTGGCTGCCAGACCCCATAGCAGGACGGTCACAAGTGGGAGCATCAGCCCTGCTAGAGCTTTCCGTGTGGTGCCATGCATGGATACCGAGGTCAGCACTGCCTTGAGTAAGGCAGCAGGGATGTGAGAAGTGTTTCCTCCTCCCTCCTTTTGCTTTCTTGCTGAAATGATGAGAGCAGTTTGAGATTTGACAGGTGTTTTCCTTAGGAGTACAGCATCTGTGTTCACATGTGCGATGAAAACACCAGAGTGTAACTCTGTGTACAAAAAAGAAATGGTCTTGGGCAACTGTTGTCATTTACTTCTTGTTCTTTGCTGAGTTTTGTTTCTGAGTCATTTACTATTACAGTACAGTGTTGCATAGCCTGACTGCTTTCAGGTGTCACAGAAGCGCTCGTACTGAAAATTGCTGCACTTTATAGCATTAATGCTGAAGCATCACCTTCAGCTTCTTCAAGCCCATCTGAAATTGAAGGCTGGTTGGAGTGTCTGGTAATACTGCCTTAATTCCAGTTAGTGTTGCCAGACTGATGTGTTTTTACATAGGAAAACACTGGTGCTGAGATTCTTACACTTTCCTTTAATTAAAGTCATGCCAGGAGATCATGAAACTGTAACAGAACTGTCTGGTGAAGCTTTACAATGTAGGTGATTGTTATGAGTTGAGTAATGTCCTTTCTTAACTTCTGTACTGGTAAAATATGACCCTTCAGTATTTTAAACATTAATTTGGAGTAATAATAGAGCATTGAGGACCATTGGACAGTTATTTTACGATCTAGATTCGATTTTGTTTTTTACAGTGAATATTTGACCGTAGGAACCTAAGTTTTGGTTTAATCTTCAGTCTTAATTAAAGGGTTTTCTTGTGTTCTTAATCATTAATTTGGGTTGATGTTGGATAATACCAGGGGGCTTAATTAACCTGTCCTACTAAATTAAAGTGTTATTCGCTTAAGTGAAACAGAAACACAATCCACTGCTTCATGTCTCAATTCAGCTAGAAGAAAAAAGTTTCGGGGAACCAATAAATCCAGAAAAATCCAGCAAAAAGTTCAGCATGTCTCTGTGTGAAATATCTCCCACTGTGTTTTTACTTCTTTACAGGTTTGGGTTACGCCGACGTAGAGAATCGTGTGATGTGTAAGCCAGAGACCATCATGAGAATTGCCAGTATCAGCAAGTGTCTCACCATGATGGCTGTTGCCAAACTGTGGGAAGAGGGGAAGCTGGACTTAGATGCTCCAGTGCAGAAATACGTCCCTGAATTTCCAGAAAAAGTCTATGAAGGTGAAAAGGTACGTGGTTGTTTTGTTCCTGCCATTGCACAGGTGTGTATGTACAGCTGTTTTGTGCTCTGTCCTGTAACGTGCCAGAAGCCGTTCAGACAAGTGCTGATGTTTGATGCTTCAAAAAGCAGTGTTGGAAGTGTGGATCTTCAGTTTTAGAGTGTGTAATGTGCATTTATTGATGTAGTTTAACTCCTTTTGGTACATGGAGTTTAGAAGGTCTTCCATCTCTGTCTTCATGTTGGGTTTTACTTTCTGGTGAATCAACGTGCATTTTATTTTTAACAAAGAGAGCTCCTGTTGTCCTTTTCTACCTAGGTCACTATTACCACAAGGTTGTTAGTCTCGCACTTGAGTGGGATTCGTCACTATGAAAAAGATATTGCAAAAGTAAAGGAAGAAAAGGAAAAGGCAAACAGAGCACTTAAACTGACAAAATCCGGCCAAGATAAAGAACAGAAAGAGAAAGATGGCAAAGGCATTGAAAAGACTGACTCTGACAAGCCAAAGAAGGAACACGAAGGTGAAGTAAAAAGCCGAAATTCAAAACCTGGCAGGAGAGACAAGGAGTTTGAACATGAGGAGTATTATTTGAAGGAAAAATTTGAGAGCGTGATTGAATCGCTGAAGATATTCAAAAATGATCCTTTGTTCTTCAAGCCAGGTGAGTTACTGCTACTTTTGACCAAGGCAGACTTTTCTGGTGATTTTTGTTGTTGTTTCAAATTGCTTTGTATTCAGCACAGCTTTATATTCATTAGCATCCCATAAATAATATTTGTGCGTTCTGTTTTTGTTCTGTTGTGTTACTTTCTTCCTGTACTCCACTGAAAGCTTGATGGAGAAATATTTGGGCTGACCTGCACAAACTGTCCAGTCATGCAGTTGTCTTCAAGTGCCAGTATTTGTAATGCTCAAACCAATCAGGTTACACAGAGTCCCAGAAATGTGTTACAGCCATTCTCAGAGCTACCTGCAAGTGCCTGTCTGCTGCCTCACATCAATTCCTAGGACCCATTGCCATAATCCTGTGACATGGTGTTAAAATTGGAGTGAGAACATTGCATTGCTGCATGCATTTTGGTTTCCACACGTGATTACTTAAATGTTGTCCCATAAGCTTCCCATTTAAGCGTCATGCAGCTGACTTCAACCCCCTGTGCTCTTTGTTTCTTTAAGGTAGCCAGTTCTTGTATTCAACATATGGCTTTACTCTCCTAAGTGCTGTTGTGGAGAGAGTTTCGGGGCAGAAATTTACAGAGTACATGCTAAAAATGTTCCGTGACTTGGATATGCTGTCAACTGTGCTGGATGACAACGAAGCAATGATATATAACAGAGCAAGGTAAGAAAGAATGAGGTTTTACTCTGCTGCTTCTGTGGTGTTTGCTGCACTTTTCGCCTTTGAGCCAACTGAATTAAGAGTGTGCACTGTTCTTTTTTGGTCATGCTTTTAAATGAAGTGGGCCATGTTATCCTGTGACTTTGTGTCAACACCGCACTATTTGTTCTATAAATGTGAAATTACAGAGCTAGAAATAAGATTAGCAATTATAATAGTGCTCGTGGGGGTGGACGTGGTGGGGGTGACTGAGGAGTTTGCATTTAGGTTGGTTACAGCTAAGCAGGTACATGTAAATCGGGAAAAACAGAGCAATAAGGGCTGAGTTTCTTATCTCTGCCCTTATTTTACTGAGCCACCTGGATGAGCTCTAAGGTTGATTTGTTGATTCACATTTTAAGTTGCTGTGCAGGAGAAAAATTCAACTGAATCACAACAGCAGATGATGGCAAGCCTCAGAACAATGGGTTTCAACTTTCTTAAAAGCGTGGGTTTCAAAGTGCTGTAAAAGAGTGGAAATGGCTATGAATGTGCTGGATCCAGGTTTTATAGTACTTGTGTGAGTGTGTATTAAACATGTTGTTACATGGTGTTGTTGCTAACAACAGTAGCATTGGAGATCTTTCAAGGGTAGCTTTTCTGCTGTATTCTAAGTTGTTTTGTGTAGTTATTTCACTTGCAAATATTCAGAGGTTCTCCAGCTATTTGTAGATCTGGATTCTAGTGGTCTTGTAAATTATCAGGCTGCTGTAGTGAAGTTCCTTTTGAGATGCAAGTGTATAAACAAGTCTATAAACCAAAATATGGCAGGGGTAAAAGAATTAGGACAGGTGCTGTTTCATGGTCTTTTTATGGCTTATTTAAGGAACACTGGGATCATCATGTGATGGTTTTTGCCTCCTCATGCAGCCAGCTTGATGTCTCAGACTGAAAAATACTGAGAAGTCGTGGTTTTTTTAATGGTTTGCTTTTGCTGCATTTCACTAAGAAAAAAAAAGGCTTAAAACCTTACATTTCCAAAATTTTTTTTAGAGCTGCGAGTAAAGTATTCAGCATCTTCATAATGAGTTATATTGTGACAACAAATGAGTGTAGGGACACTGAGATATGCAAGTTACCAGCAGAGCTGATAGTCGTCTTGGACCATTTATCTTTCTTTGCTTCAGCCTCAGTTTTCAGTACTAGCTTTTTCAGAAGTTCCCTGGATGTTTTCCAGTGTACATGTTGACCAGATAGAGGATAGAAGCATGTACTGCCTAAAGTAGGCTTGCTGCTTTTTCTCTCCCTCTCCCTCTCCCCTCCCCTTCCCTTCTTTTTTATGTGATTCATTTCCACAGGCAGTCCGTGGATTTACTATGCTTGAAATTCATCAGAATGTATAGGTATGCAACAGTGCTTTTCATCTGCTGTGTGAAATGCACCCATTCAGGAGTGTACCATTGCAAAAGTGTAACTCTGTCTGTGCTGCTGTTGTGCTCTTTATTCTGCAATTCCACTTGGTAGTTTTAATTTTGTATTTTAATGACAGGTTTTGCAAGACTCTCTTTCCTGCTTGCTTTGTTAGTTTCAGAATATTGAGTTGTATGTAGTAACCGTAATGGAGCAGGGGGAGAAATTAATCACAGATGGAGTCTGTGAGGCTTTGGTGAAATTTCAGCTGGGTCTCAGATAACAGCAGGGTAGCAGCAGGATTCCTCTTTCTTGAAACACTTTTGAAATCTAGTACAGGGATTTGAGAGAAGTCCTGTGCTGGATGAATTTTTGTGTTGATTTTTCTCAAAAACAAACAAACAAACAAAAACATTTAAGGAAAAAATATTTTGAACGAGACAACATTTTCATGAGAACAATTTCACACATGCTCAGATTGCCCTGTTAAGGTAGTTGAGGGAAGTATCTGAGATGACAAGTTGAATGTTCTTGAATTCTAGGTGTTACGTTTACAACAAAAAGGGACGACTGGTAAACGCACCGTATGTGGACAACTCTTACAAGTGGGCTGGTGGAGGCTTCCTGTCATCAGTAGGAGACCTTCTGAAATTTGGAAATGCCTTGTTGTACAGTTACCAAGCTGGACAATTTAGAAGCAACAATGGCAAGCTTCTGCCTGGGTACCTGAAACCAGACACGGTTGCAATGATGTGGACCCCAGTGCCAAAAACTGAAGTATCATGGGACAGGGATGGTAAATATGCAATGGCTTGGGCTGTAGTAGAGAAAAAACAACAGTGTGGCTTTTGCAGGCGGCAGAGACACTACGCATCTCATACGGGTGGTGCAGTGGGTGCAAGCAGCGTTCTCCTGATCCTTCCTGAAGAGTTGGACTCTCATGCTGAAGATACTGCAGAAGTGGCACCACCTAGGGGAGTAATTGTTAGCATTATCTGTAATATGCAATCTGTTTCCCTCAACAGCACTGCCTTAAAGATTGCAAGGGAATTTGATAAAGAAAAACGGGCACAAAATATAGGTTAAAAAAAGAGAGATGAATAAGTGAAGTTGAAATAAGTTGAGTAAGTGAACATGAAAAACAAATGGAAACGGAGATCAAATTGGGCCCTGAGGTCCCAAAGGACAGGTGAGGAAAAAGCATCAACACTTCACTGAAATTCTGTTAGTGGTGCCACGTTTAAGTGTACTGGAATTCATCTCTCAGGGAAGCTCCTTACAGGAAAGAAGAATGTAACAAGCAAATTTGACTCCCCGTGTTAACTGTGTAAGTTATCATTTCAGCAGTGAGGCCTTTTTCCTCATCCAGTTATTTGACCAACATTCAAAAAATAAAACAACAGCGGCCGAACAAACAGAGCGTTGCTTTCTCCTATTGAGTACAACAGCAGATTATCTGCCTTCAGTGCTAAGCTTTTAAAAGACCTGATTCTTTATTCTCAGTTCCGATCTTTGAAAACAGTAAAATCAGAATGACTTTACTGTTGACAAAATGTGTGTTTTTACATACAACTTGTTTTTTAATTTGATTAAAAAGCAAAAAACAAAGCTACCTCTGGGAAGATTTCCATCAAGTGCATTTTTGTCAGAGTTGTGTATTGCCAAGAATTGGAAAAGAAAGGCCATAGAGTCATGTGTGTAAAATAATTTTATTTAGATATTCAACGCCATTCTTTGTTAGACATAAAATGTGGCATTACTGTAGTGTGGAAATAAAGGTGTTGTTTCACATGTACCTGAGTAGCACAGCACAGTGAGCTATCAGGCAGCCTTACTGCTGGATGACGCACGTAGCTGGTAGCAGCAGTTGTAGCCAACAGCTGGAAATGGCACTGTATTCTGGAATGTAGATTTTTCTTTTGTTCATGAATTAGGAACTAAAATAACTCAGTAAAATTTCAAGCCCATTCTCAAAGCCAGTAGTCGAAATGTGATGCACTTTGAGGGTTTTTCTGTTTGTCTTCCCCAAACCATCCTTGTTTCTATTTTGGACATCTACCTCAAGGCATTACTTTTGCACAAGACTGAACAAGAAATTCTGGCAGACTTCCAAATAAGCAGTATCTAATCTTCATGCTTTCAATAGAAATACAGTACCAGCTGATTATGTTTATTTGATGTATTCCATCATGCTGTGCACGATCTCTGCAATCTCCAAGACTCCACTTCCCTGTGGTTACATCAGACAGTATTTCCAGGTTGAGATGAAACAAACCATCCCACAGGAGTTATAATGCTTGAAACCCTGCACTGTTTAGCAGTTCTGCCTCTGAATTTAAGGAGCAAAATGTTTTGAGTAACAGTTGAAAGAAGGTCGCCTTACCTTCATCTTTCCCAAGCTAGAGTTTTTAGTATTAACTTCACACTGCTATCTGCCATGTGATGCAGTGCCATGTTGTCAGCTGTGTTACCATTATGCCTGTGAATATTTTTTGTCTAAGACTGACGAATGAAGAAATTTATTACTTTGAGGTGTCATTGCTTTACCTGCACTGGCGGTAGGGGGCTGCTTTGGGACTCTTCATAATTATAAGTAATTGTTCCTGTGCTAAAACAGCACAATGAAATGTTACTGTGTGAAAACAGTAAAAGCTTACAAACTGTTTGCTTAGCTTTTCTGGCCCACAAAAAATTTACTTCCATATTCATGAATGATGGAACAAGCTCATTTGGTGAGGCAGTATATTCACCTGCACTCACTGAGGTCTTTAATGTTGTTCGACAATTCAGGACAGAGGTACTGGAGATGAACATCTACAATGCCAACATTGCTTTTTGCAGTCTTGAACACCTGCTAGCTGGCTAAGCCTGCAGCAGCAGAATCATTGGCAATTTTCCATAGGGAGCAAGAGTAGGTAAGTAGTTCTGCATTGCTTTCATGTTGGAGAATATGCGAACAGAAGTTGACAGAACAAAATGTTTTACATATGGAAACCCTAAAAAGTAACACTGCTACTTCAGGATTATGATGCATTTATTTTGTGAATGGCATTTAACATTCTTGAAAACCATTTTGTGTATTTCAGAGACAAGTTTCACTAGCTGACCATTGCGAGAGAGTTTAGATACAAAGTGAGCATGCAGAAGGGGTAGGTCTTGTATTGTGCTTGTCTACGTGTGACCAAACAGTAATCATAGAATATCCTGAGTTGGAAGGGACCGTAAGGATCACTGAGTCCAACTCCTGGCTCCACACAGGACCACCCAAAAATCAGTCCATAAGAGTCCATAAGAGTGTTATCCAGTCACGTCCTGAACTCTGGCAAGGTGGATGCCATGACCACTGCCCTTGGCAGCCTGTTCAGTGCCTGACTGAAGAACCTCCAACCTGACCCTCCCTTGTTGCAGCTACTTGCCGTTCTGTTGGGTTCTACCACTGGTTACCACCAACACGCTGGAATGAATTCCTTTGGACGTACAGGTGTTTGAAGTATGTAAGAAAGTGAATAATGAAGTGTCTTAAGATACTTTTAACACTAAGATATTCATGACGGTATCCCACTCCCCTCGTGGATTGATTAGCCACCAGCCTTTTGTATGCAGAGACCACATAGTTTTTACATCCTATAACTTCAAAGGTCTACTGTAATGTGTACAGCTATGTAAAATGTGAAAATGTTAAGAAGTCTTCCATCACATGTAGCAAAACGTGTCACTGAGTTTCTCTGATATGGCACTTAATCACAAATCTTACCTTTTTCTGTGTTGGGTAGAGGTAGGAGGAGAGCAGAAATGGGGGAGACTAAGCATCAGTCTGACAGCACAAATGGCCAAGTCACAGTATTGCTGTCGTCTTTAGCATGATGCCACTTACTTGATGCATTGGCATTAAGTATAGAAAACTGGTCAACTAATTGCAACTGAGGTGACTGACACGTTCTTAACTTGTCCTGTGCAAACAGTATGGCACAAACATGAACCTGTTCTGTTCTTGAAGGTATGCATGCTAAATTGGTGCACCTGTTTCTGTATCAAACACCTGCTTCTCACACCTGGTAATTATCAGTGTTCTCTATTAAGTGAAATAAAACAGCTTGCAAATGCACTGAATTACAATATCAGGTTTTTTCCTAATTAACTAGAAACATATAGAGTTTTTTTAATCATGAAAATGAAACAAATAAATTCCTAACGATAATGAGCTCACCAAGACAGGTGATATTTTAAAACAGATGATGCTGACATGTAACTTAAAATTTTAAGTAGTATTAAAGCAAGGTGTAAGATGGCATGTTTGAAGGGTGTATCATGGTATTAAAAATAAATCTCAGTTTTTTAGCAACCCTTTAAGAGGGGATGGCTTTTAACAGCTAATTAAAAACCGGTTTCCTCATTGCAAAAGGGTAATGATTAAATTTCAATACTTAATACTGAAAATATGCACTGTGGCTTGTATGCCACATACTTACACTACGCTCAGTGCTTTCAGTATTTTGCAAAATGATTTAAATACTTCTTTTTTTTTTTTTTGCATAGGAATCTCAGTATAGAATGTGGAGTGCAGGTTGTAGACCAGATTAGAGAGAGGGAAAACCAGGCATTCCAGAACAACATCTGAACACGTGTGAGTAATTCTGCATCTGAGAAATAACTATTACCACAGAGTAAGGGGACCAAAGCCATGTTGAAACAGCTGAGCTGCATGTCCTTTTTAAACCTGTCTACCTTTTGTAACCCTGGCCATTGAAGCAGCCACAGCATTCAGTTATAAAAAATGTGTTCTTAGTGCCGACTGTCACCATATGGTTTACCCTGCTGATGATTAACAGAAAGAAGGATGCAGCGAGTCCAAGGTTCAGATTTTTATATTAAATGACACCACCCAATTACAAAACACTGTTTAAAGCTGTAAAAATAGAGCTCAACTGTCTGCGACTTACAGGGAAAAAAAATGCACTTCAAATCATTTATTGAAAAAGATTCCAGCTGATCAGTCACCAGTAGTGTGTCATTTTCACAAAGTCAGTCATAATTACATTGTTACATCAAGCATTTTTTTTAACAGGTAAGGCTTTCAGGAACACAGATCCACTGCTGTATGTTGAAGAGACTGTTCAGTGTTGCTTTCTTCTAAATGAACAGCCTGTAAAGAAATCACAAATACAAGCAGCATTACATTGCTAGATTATCTTGAAAAACTGCTCATCCAACTCAAGTTGGAAGCTTGCATAGTAAATATATTGAGCTTTTCGTACCACAAGAGCTAACTAACTTTGAGTCTACTCTAACCCAGTCAGAATTCATCTCACTGTAAGCCTTGGGTGTACTGTTGTTTTTTTTTGTATTTGGTTTTCCAGATGCCTTTAAAGTTTCAGTCTGTTGTTCTATTCTCTAGTGGTACAAACCCTAAAGTGAAACAGCTGCTAGGAGTTCTTACACATTTCCAACTGCTCAACAGCCTTATTTCAGGTATTCTGTCTTCCTATCAACTATATAGCAGTATGTGGTACAAGTACTACTATGTACAATTTGCATATATAATTACCTTTCATCCTTTAATTGTAAGGTGAATGAAATCTGCATTCATTTTTTAAAGTACTTTAAACCTTCATCTGTTTCCAGTGTTTTTCATAGATCTTGGACACTGGGTTACATTGCAAGATACCGTGCTATAGCAGTTACCTATATATATGTGTGTGTATTAGCAGGTTATTTGTTCTTTTACACTTTATACAAGCATTTTGACTACGTAATGTGAATCAGGAATTGCCTTACAGCGCTGTTTAAAAATGAACAACCAAGCCAGCACTGACTAGCAGTGGCATGGCATTACTCTAGGCTTGCCAAACCCTCTAAAGTTAGTTCAGAATTGAATATCCCGTATCAGTTAGGCTAAAGGAAGTTACAAGTCACTGAATCTAAAATTGTTTCTGATCAAAATCTAGCTCTGAACTCCCTGGCCTACCTACTTAGTCATTATAAAACAAACAAAACATTGCATAAAACATTGTAAATAGGCCCCAGCTTGCAAGTTTTTGTTGTTTTTTTTTAATCAGCTAATGCTCAGCAATATGAAGAATAAGCTTTCCTGTAGTAGTTTTCAAAAATCAAAGCTAAGAGAGCTGCAGGCCGTAAGTCCACAGATGTGCAGTTTTAAGTGTGATATTCAGATTGCTTAAACGTTTCTCCTTACCTTCTGTGAGCCTTGCTTTTCCCCCAGTAGGCTGACACAGAATAGTTGAGCAGCCTACACACAGAACCACTGTCTGAGCATGGCTGAACACGGTGGTGATCTTGTAGCATCCTGCAAAACAGCAATGTTAAGTTTTCTACTGAGTATTTCTAGTGTGTTTTTAATTGTATGTGTAATTGAACCAGATACCCTGAGTACACTTGTTCAAGACTAGATGAGTAT